TGAAGACCAACTGAAGACCAACAGAAAACATTCGACTAAATTTCGACTAAATGTCGACCAAGGGTCTTCCAAGTCGACATTTAGTCGACATTTAGCCGAGATTTAGTAGACTGCCTTCAGTTGGTCTTCACTTTGTTGACCGCTATTCGACATTTAGTCGAAATTTAGTCGACTATCTTCAATTTTTCTCCAGTTGGTCTTTATTTGGAAGACCCTTAGTTGAAATTTAGTCGAATTTAGTCGACTGTCTTCAATTGGTCTTCAGTTGATCTTCACTTGATAGACCCTAAGTCGACATTTAGTCGAAATTTAGTCGACTGTTTTGAGTTGGTCTTAAGTTGGTCTTCACTTGGTAGACCCTTAGTCGAAATTTGTTCGAAATTTAATCCACTGTCTTCAGTTGTTCTTCAGTTGGTCTTCACTTGGTAGACCCTAAGTCGACATTTAGTCGAAATTTAGTCGACTGTCTTCAGTTTCAGAATCGTTGGTCTTCACTTGAAAATGTTTGTAATTTTTTTTTCAGAATTGTATTTTTGCCTGCATGTTTCTTAGAAAATTAGTTGCCTTAGTCGACATTTAGTCGAAATTTAGTCGACTGTCTTCAGTTGGTCTTCAGTTGGTCTTCAGTTGGTCTTCAGTTGGTCTTCAGTTGGTCTTATGTTATAAAACAACATTTTTACAAAATTTTCTGTTAAAAACTTTTTCTTTAAATGTCAGTTTTTCATGTCATTTTTGGTCAAAAACTAAGAAATTTTGATGAAAATGTTTGTAATTTTTTTCAGAATTGTATCTTTGCTTGCATGTTTCTTATAAAATTAAGGCACGCAAAGAACATTTTTACAATTTTTTCTGTTTAAAACTTTTTGTCAAAATGTCAGTTTTTCATGTCATTTTTGGTCAAAAACTAAGACATTTTGATGAAAAGCTTTGTAAAATTATTTTTCAAAATTGTATCTTTGCCTGCAGTTTTTTCATAACATTAGTGCACATAGAGTACATTTTTAGAAATTGTTCTGTTTAAAACCTTTTTGTCAAAATGTCAGTTTTTCATGTAATTTTTGGTCAAAAACAAAGAAATTTTGATTTTTTTTCAGCAAAATCCCAATTTTGTATGTCGTGTAAAAAGTTGAAAAATGTTCATGAAAAGTTTTGAAAAAAAATTAAAAATTCTTTTGAAAAAACTCTTGAAATTAGAACATTTTGAAAAATATTTTAGAAATTTGCTTTTTGGAATATTTTGTCATTTTGTTTTTGCATAATTTTCATGAGCATTTTTGAAAAGACATTTCAAAATGTTATCTTTTCTGCATGTTTCTTATCAAATTATAGCATTTTGAAAATGTATTTAGAAAACTTTTTTTGCGAAACACTAATTTGTTTTTAAATTTTGTCTTTTCTCCATGTTTATTATCAAAACTCAGCAATTAATAAAAAACTCTAAAAATGTTTTTTTCAACTTTTCACCAAAACCATAATTATTGGTCATATGTTGAAAAATTGACATTGTTGAAAAGATGATAAAAAATTTTAGCATAGTTCTTTTTAAAAATGTGTCTTTCTGCATGTTTCTCATCAAATCAGAGCCTTTTTTGAGATTTTTTTTGGCAATTTTTTTAAAAAAATGTCTTTTCTGCTTGTTTCTTATAAAATTACAGAGTATTTTGAATTTTGTTTTCACAAATTTAGCATGTCATTTCTGGTTCGGTGTTGAAAAATTATCTTCTTTTTCTTTCGGCTTTGTCCCTTTTTTTTCAGGGGTTGCCACAGCAGATCATTGATTTCCATCTCTCCCTGTTCTCTGTATCTTCTACTCTGACTCCAACTATCTGCATGTCCTCCCTCACTGCATCCATATATCTCCTCTTTGACCTTCCTCTCTTTCTCCTACCTGGTAGCTCCATCTCTAACATTCTTCTACCAATGTATCCACTGTCCCTCCTCTGCACATGTCCAAACCATCTCAATCTGGCTTCTCTAGCTTTTTCTCCAAACCTTCCTGTCTGTGTTGTCCCTCTAATGACCTCATTCCTGACCCTGTCCATTCTTGTCACTCCTAAAGAGAATCTTAGCATCTTTAACTCTGCCACCTCCAGCTCCTCCTCCTGTCTTCTGCCTATTGCTACTGTCTCTAAACCATACATCATGGCTGGTCTCACCACTGTCCTGTAAACCTTTCCCTTCACCTTAGCTGACACTCTTCTGTCACAGATCACTCCTGACACTTTGCTCCAGCTGTTCCATCCTGCCTGTACTCTATTCTTCACCTCTCTTCCACAGTCTCCGCTGCTCTGAACAGTTGATCCTAAGTACCTAAACTCCTGCACCTTCACCACCTCTGCTCCTTGTAGCCTCACTATTTCACTGTTCTGCCTTTCGTTTACACACATGTACTCTGTCTTGCTGCGACTGACCTTCATTCCTCTTCTTTCTAGTGCAAACCTCCACCTCTCTAGGTTCTCTTCTAGCTGCTGCCTACTCTCACTACAGATCACAATGTCATCTGCAAACATCATAGTCCATGGGGACTCCTGTCTGACCTCATCTGTCAATCTGTCCATCACCACAGCAAACAAGAAGGGGCTCAGGGCCGATCCTTGATGTAGTCCCACCTCCACTTTGAAGTCTTCTGTCCTCCCAACAGCGCACCTCACTACTGTTGTACTATTCTCATACATGTCCTGCACCAAACTAACATACTTCTCTGCCACTCCTGACTTCCTCATACAAAACCACAATTCCTCCCTTGGCACTTTGTCATATGCCTTTTCTAGATCTACAAATACACAATGCAGCTCCTTCTGACCTTCCCTGTACTTCTCCATCAACATCCTCAAGGCAAATATTGCATCTGTGGTACTCTTCCTAGGCATGAAACCATACTGTTGTTCACAAATCTCCACTTCCTGCCTCAACCTAGCTTCAACTACTCTTTCCTAAATCTTCATTGTATGGCTCATCAACTTTATCCCTCTGTAGTTGTTACAACTCTGTGCATCACCCTTCTTATGAATTGGCACCAGAACACTTTTTCTCCACTCATCAGGCATCTTGCCAGTCTCTAAAATTCTGTTAAACAAACCAGTCAGGAAATTTACTGCCACTTCTCCTAAACACTTCCATACTTCCACTGGTATGTCATCAGGACCAACTGACTTTCCACTCTTCATCCTCTTCAGGGCTTTTCTAACTTCATCCTTTCTAACCTGATCTACCTTCTTCCTACTAGTCTCTGGCTCCTCGTTTCTACTTTCCCTTTCATTTTCCTCATTTAACAACTCCTCAAAGTATTCCTTCCATCTTCTCAGCACACTTTCCTCACTTGTGATCACATTCCCCTCTCTGTCCTTAATCAACCTCACCTGCTGCACATCCTTCCCAGCTTGATTTCTCTGTCTCGCCAATCTATACAACTCCTTTTCTCCTTCCTTTGTTTCCAAACTCTCATACAACTCCTCATATGCCTTTTGTTTGGCCTTGGCCACTTCCCTCTTCACCTCCCTTGTCCTCTCTTTGTACTCCAGTCTGTTCTCTTCTGTTCTGTCACTGTCCCATCTCTTCTTCGCTAATCTCTTTCTCTGCACACTCTCCTGGATCTCCTCATTCCACCACCAGGTCTCTTTGTCCTCCTTTCTCTGCCCAGAGGACATACCTAGCACCTTCCTACCTGTCTCCCTCATCACTGCAGCTGTAGTCTCCCAATCATCTGGGAATATCTCAACACTACCCAGAACTGCCCTTACTTCCTTCCTGAAGTCTTCACAACATGTCTCTTTCCTTAGTTTCCACCACTTGATCTTCTGCTCTGTCTTCACTCTCTTCCTTTTTGTCACCTCCATCGTCATTTTACACACTACCATCCGATGTTGTTTGGCTACACTCTCACCTGCCACCACCTTACAGTCTCTAATCTCCCTCAGATTACATCTTCTACATAGAATATAATCTATCTGTGTGGACCTGCCTCCACTCTTGTAAGTCACCCTATGTTCCTCTTTCTTTTGGAAATATGTGTTTACCACAGCCATTTCCATTCTCTTTGCAAAATCTACCACTGCCTGTCCTTCTACGTTTCTCTCCCTAACACCAAACCTGCCTATCACTTCCTCATCTCCTCTGTTCCCTTCCCCTACATGACCATTTAGGTCTGCTCCAATCACCACTCTCTCTCTCCTGGGGATACTCTCTACCATCCAATCTAGCTCCTTCCAGAACTTCTCCTTTTCTTCCAACTCACAGCCCACCTGTGGGGCATAACCACTAACAACATTAATCATCTCTCCTTCTACTTCTACCTTCACACACATCAACCTGTCTGACTCTCTTTTCACCTCTACCACATTTCTTACATATTCTTCCTTTAGGATCACCCCTACTCCATTTCTCTTCCCATCTGAACCATGATAAAACAGTTTGTAGCCTCCTCCAATGTTTCTAGCCTTACTGCCCTTCCACCTGGTCTCCTGCACACACAAAATATCTACTCTTCTTCTCTCCATCACATCAGCTATTTCTCTGCTTTTCCCTGTCATTGTACCTACATTCAAAGTTCCAAACTTCAGACTAACACTTGTATTCTTCATCTTTTCTCTTTTTCTCCTAACCAAACGCCCTCCTCTTCTTCTCTGTCTCTGGCTCTGACTCTGACCAACAGTAGTCCAATTTCCGTGTTGAAAAATGATGATGACATTTTTTGGCAAAATTATTTTTAGATGTTATCTTATGCACATGTTTCTAATCAATGAGAACATTTTCAAAAAATTGAAAAAAAAGGATTTTGGTTTTAACTGATACAGTGTAAAAATGCTGGTAGAAAAATTCATTGCCCATAATATACAGTATTAGCAGTAATATATGGTGGTTTACTTTCTCTATGCTCCGCCCTCCTTGACCTTCCGATTCCTGCAATTCTTCACTGACTTCCTCCAGGAAGCTGTAACAACAATCCCTCCTTTTTTGTTTGTTCAGATAGTGTGTATAGATGTATGTGTGTATGTGTTCATGTGTGACAAGAGAAACTCCACCTGCTGCATTATGTTAAATTTGTTGAAACCAAACTTCATAATTTAAACCTGTGTTTCCTGGTTATATAATCTTTCTACATTTATTCTGTTTTATTGTGTAACTGATGACCTTACATTTGCCCTCACTGTAATAGCATATTATCTTATTCTTATTGCTCTGTGTGGAATCAATCAAAAGTCAATCAAATCCTGAGTTGAAAAATTATCAAAATTACAAATCAGGTTTGGTAAAAGTCTAATGTCACACTTTCCTGAGAGAGGCACTGATTGTGTGAAGGAAATGAGCTTGCCCTATCAAGACACAGCACACTTCCTGTCCTGAACGGTGGGGGGATCTGAGGGGTGAGGGCTAAGTCTGACACTCAGCAGTGTGTCAGAGCAGAGAAAAAAGTCATAAGAGCATTGGCAGGACGGAGAAGTGAAGGAATCAAACTCAAGGTAAGAACTTTCTGTTCTTGTATTCCTGTGGTGTCTGTTCAGTTTAATAGTCAGCTCTTGTGAGCAACGTTTTGTCTGAGATACAAAGTTTGACCTGAGTGAATGTCAAAGAGGGTTCCAGACATAGAAATGTGTTCGGCCGATTAAAAAAACACTCAGCTGAACGATGAAATAAAACGTCCTCAACATCTTCAGTCTTTAAAATCTATAAATACAAGTATATACATTTATATATGCTGGTTGCCTGTTAGTTCCACACCCTTTTACAACAGTAAAAAAGGTATTAACTACAACCCTCAGCTGTAGAAAGTCCACACAGTTGATCCACTGCTGCCTCCAGTGGTTGGTTTGAGCCCAATTTGTGGTATAAACAGTTTCATTTTTTGTTGATTTTTGCCATTTAAAAATGTGTTTTGACATTTTTAGCAAAAAGAATCTAGAGACCCAGGAGACAAGAATTTTAGAGCAGGAACCATCATAGTGAGGTGTTTGGATATATTATATTTAAAAATGATGTCCCAAAGTAATTATATAGTATTTTAGTTACTTTGACATTCCAAAAAACAATTTTACACCTAGATGCACATTATGAAACAAATTGCAGTATACATATTTATGGGTTTTAACATATCCTTTGGTGGGCTTGGGGATTCTTATGCTGATTTTTTGTCTTCTTTATTATAAAAATAACAATTATTATTATTATTCCCTTTTGATATTAGAAAAATGACCATTTTGGCATTTAAAGCACACACTTTGTGAGAAAATTCTTAATTGTAATCATAGTAGTAATACAATAGCTTAATGTTTAAAACAATAATTACATTCTATGAATTAGTTACATATTTTTAATAATTACTTTTGTTTTATCACCAATGATTAAACAGTTTTGATCAATAATCAAAATCGTACTGATATGAATTGTCTACCTCAAGGATTCCACCTGTGAAACAAAGAGCTGTTCCTCACAACATTCTCTGTTTCTATTATGTTCTTAGTCCATTTGTCTCCTCTGTGTCAACAGGGACAGCATCGATAATGGGGGAGGAGTCAGGAAAAATGGCGTCTTGGGTCATTTACTTAATTTTTATCATCTTTTCTGGGAAACATTGCGTGAAGGCATCACTGCCAACCTACACCTTCCACAACAACAACGTCAACTTTGAGCAGGCAGCAGCACTGTGTTCCCCTGGCGTCCTAACCACCCTCGCCACCATGCAGGAGGTCACCGAGATCCTACGACTCATCTCTGAGGGGTCGAGGCCTCAGGGTAAAGCCACCTTCTGGATTGGACTGAAGAAAGCTAAAGAAACCTGTGTTATTTCCTCGCTGCCTCTGAGAGGGTTCCACTGGACAGAAGATGGCAGCACGGACTCTGAGGTGAACCGCTGGACCAAGGAACCGGTGGAAACTTGCACCGCGGCTCGTTGTGGTACCCTACAGGTGCAGCTGGATGGTTCTGCTGCCCCCAAGTGGGGTTTGGTTGCAGTCACCTGTAAGAACGCATCGGTCTATCCCTTTATCTGCAAACTAAAAGAACGTGACAACTCTAAACCTGATCCACCCAACCCAGGACCTGTATCTTTGCCACATCAACCTGATTCACCTGAATATAAACCAGCTGCACCACAACCACATCATCCTGATCAACCAGAACCAACAGCACCAGGACAACATAAACTTGATCCAGTTGTACTAATACCTGCTCCAACTGAGCACCATGAACCAGAAGCACCTAAACAAGAACCAGAGACACCAGAACCACCTAGATACAGTACCCCTGAACCTGAATATCCAATTGGTAAACCAGAGTTAGGAACCCACGTGGAAGCTAATGTTGAATCCAATTTAGGACCAGGTTCTAAACCCAGTTCTGGCCTCAGACCTGGTATATGGTCCAATGACTGTCAGAACCCCATCATCCCTGGGTCCCGCTCCCTCAGTCCAGACCCTAATAACAGCAGCCGTATGCTGGTGGAGTGCTGGTCCACGGTCCAGGTGAAGCTCCAGTGCCAAGGCCGTCCTGCGACCTGGCATCTCCTGAGTGACACTCCTGCTAACTTCACCACCCTCTGCAAACCATGCAGCATAGGATTTCACAAAGACATCTCTGGAGTTTGCAAAGATGTTGACGAGTGCAGCGGCGCCCCCTGCAGACACACTTGTCTGAACACCAGGGGTTCATACCGCTGTGTCTGCTATGACAAGAACGGGAAGCACCACGAGGAGGGCTCCACAGAGTGCATGGACATGGTTACAGAGGGCGGGGCTCTGTCAGGGATCTGGGTCCCAGTGCTGATTGCTGTGGGGGCGCTGGTTGTCCTGGTGGTGGCTGTGGTGGTGATTGTGAAGTGTTATTTAATGTCAAAGAAAAAAAGAAAAGAAGGAGATGGACAATGAAAATAGACTTTTATAAACTGGAGAAATTGTCACTGGTCAAAGAAGTTTGTTTTTTGTTTTGTTTTGTTTTTTCAAATTAAGTTGTTCATTTTTGTTCTAAGGAAGTTACTTCAGACTGGCTCTGGTTGTCTGAATAAAATAAAGCTATCTTTTTAAAAAAAATGATTATGCCAAGAAAAAAAATGTTAGATTTAGTCTGAAAACCTCACCATAAAGAACATCTGCAATACAGGAAAGGTTGTCGTCAAAACACCCACCTGTCAATCCCACACAATGTTCAATGATACGTCCTATATACAGTATCTGCACTTTCTTGTCTATTTAGATTTAAAAACATGCCGTTGTTCTACAAAGTCCCAGTGAGGATTCACTGAGGCCCAGAGGCTGCTGCGCCCGTTTCTTCTGTACGATCAGTGGTGCAGATTAGCTTGTGCTGGTTTGAAATGCAATCTAATAAAGAATCTGTTTCATTTGATCAAAATAAAAGCGTTGTTATTGGTCACGTACTACGTGTACCCAGTCGACCTGACCAGTCAGCGTGTTGGTTTGGGGACAGCTGTGATGCTCAGTAAAGGCAGCCTGATACTGTTGTCCAGGAAATGATCATTTAGTGTTTGTTGAGGGCATTTCCTTTTGAATACAAAGAGGAAATGACTTTGCCCCTCCCGCTGAGCAATGCTATAATGACTCTTTGTTTTTAAGTATCTGTTATTTAAGACCACACACACACACACACACACACACTGGTAGTGAATCATAACACTGAGGTTATGCCAGAATGACTCTTTTAACCTTCAGGTAAACTCATCTTTGATTGACAGCAGAGGAAGTGTGTGTGTTAGGGAGAGGGAGAGAGAGAGAGAGAGAGAGAGAGAGGCCCAGTTATTAGAGTCATAGTGACATCACTGTATGTTCTTGAACTCTTCAACTCCTCACACACACGTTTGTACAACAGCTCCGCAGAGACTTTCATTCATTTGTGCAGTTTAATCTAAAACCATTACATAAACTAAACACTAACACACAAACACGTTAGGTCATACCAACTCTGACCTCCAGAGGGCACTTGACCTCAGGTTGTCTCTGAGACTGTGAGGAGACCTGAACACAACATATACAGTATTTTCGTTTTGTGACTGAAAGGAGTCTTTACCTGCAGGAACAAGCGTAGGCGGAGAACAATAAGGTTCAGGTCATGACCTCACTTCCTGTCAGCTGGAGTCAGTCTGTCTGTCTGCGATGTGATTTCATGATGATGAGGTGACAGTTGAGTCAGTCTCTGCAAAAACATCATAATTATCAGTGAGAGGCTTTTAGTCAGACAGATGCAGATTTACAGCCTCAGCCTCAGCCTGAACCCGACACGGAACCTCAGACTTAAACTGACAACCACTCCTAACCTGATTCTGCACCCGGACTAGATTCTGACCCAAATCACCTTGTACCAGGCCACATAAACCTCTGTCCAAATGTATATGCTGCCCTCTTGTGGATAGGAATCAGTACGTAGCGCCTGGATCCATACCCTAACATGACAAACACAAACCTTAGTATGATCTAATCCTGAATTTCATCTCAAACCCGATTCACATCACGAACTGAACTAAATGCTGAAGCCAATCCAAACCTGAAACTGAATTAAAAACAGAGCTTGACATTAACTCTGAACCAGACCAGGAGCTTCGGCCAGTCTTAAACGACCTTTGTGACAGACGAGGTGTGGCTAAAGAACAGGTGACAGTCTGACTGTGGGGCAGCAGTGTAAACCGCTATCCCACGTCAACGCTAAGGGCCTTTACTGCTATTTGTGTTTAAATAAATAGGATAATAATACATGTGAAATTATCACAGAAGACAGACAAAATGTTTCCTTCTCTATATTGACCGCTAGGGGGTGTCTGTCTCCTTTCTTTGTGACCTGGCAGTTGTTTTTTTTTTTTTTTTTTTTTGGAAGAGCCCTTTAATCCTGCGGATCATCAGTTAATCCAGTGTGAAAATGAGCAGATCAGACTCAGTCTGGAAACATGTTATTATTTCTGACCAGTTTATAATAAAAATGAAACATTAATTACAAATTTACATGTTTTTTTTTTTTGGTTATTTTTTAAAAAGCGAAACAAAAAATATGCAAATTAAACGGAATTTTAAAAAAAGGTTAAGGAATTGTGACGTTTATTAAGTTTTAGAATTTTAGAACTAATCATTTTCACAAATGGGTCAAAACTTCAAATTAAAATGCTAGAAAACTAAAGAAGATGGAGGGATTTTGAAAATCAGATTTTAACAAAATGATATTCTCCTTCATCGAGACATTTTAACTCGTCAATAGTTTTAAAAGTTGTGGGTGACGAGGAGGAGCAGGTGAAGGAGAAGGGAGGAGGGGGGAGAAAGAAGGAGAGGATCTGGATCTGGGGCTGGACCTACAGCTGGAGGAGGAGGATCACATCAGTCGGCGGGTCACACCATCACCTCCTCCTCCTCCTCTTCATCTTCCTCCTCTGTAGTTCCGTGATTTTCCGCTCCTCCTCTGTCGGTGTCACATCTGCTCGGGTCATCTCGACTCACTTCAGCTCGGGTTTGTTCCACCCGGACCAGGACCCTGACAGGTGGAGCTGAACCGGGACCAGAAGCGGCAGGACCGGGTTGTGATGCTGAGCGCAGTGAAGATGGAAGGACACGAAGCTCCGGACTGGAGCAGCTACTACAGTGAAGAGGTGAGTCCGACACGACCGGAACCAGGACAGGGACCTGAAGCAGACACAGAACTAGACAGAGTTCACGGTTAATGAACGCAGGTGGAGGAGAAAACAACACAGGGTGAAGAAAAGGCAGAGCAGAAAACAATTATATATATAAAAATTGAATTTAAATTGTGTTAAACTGGAGATCAAAAAATGTTTATTTTCGTATTTAATAGAAATATTTAATATAAAAAATAAATTTTATATAAAAAATATATAAATATGAAGTAACATGAAAGGCGGCGCGTGAAAATGAAAACGCGCTGCGACGGAGTAAAAACGTGAATCAATCTGTGAGTCGAAGAAGGCGAGAAAAAGTAATGTAGCGTTTAAATAAACAAACACGTATAAATGACACAATAAACATAAATCAGTAAAAACATTACAGGGAGTTAAATAAATAAATAAATATATTAACCGACGGTAAGAAAAATCAAAACCAAAACAAACCAATAAAAATTAAATTAGAAACCATCTCATGACCAAGCATTGTTTTAAATCTGAACAAAACTGTCTGATATTAAACAGTGTTTAAACTGTGTCATAAGTGTTGAATGACCCGGTAATAAACACGGACTTCTTTGATCTGAAGTCGTTCACGGCTTCATTTGAATTTTTAAGATTAACGAACATTGATTTGAGATTCATCAACTCACAAAATTGTTTCGCGGTAAAAAAAAAACCCCAAAACAAAACAACTGATAAATCATTGCATTACATAATGAAAACAGAACATTTAAGGCGTCAGGTTCAGATCGGACCTGACAGGAATATAATAACTGCTGTATGTTAATAAATATAAAGAAGAAAGTTAAAGATTGAATACAGAAAAAAAAGAAAAGAAAAGAAAAGACCACAGCAGACAAAAGACACAAATACATTTAAGTAGAAATAAATATTTAAAAAAATAAATGGTATATTGTCTGTTCAGTTTCGATGTGAAAATATCAGCAACAGCTTCAACAAAAATTTGATTTTTATAAAATAATTATAGATAGTGATCACGTTTCAACAAATCTCACAGTTTTATATCAAATACATCTAAAAATATTTAATTTGTATAAACTATTGTTTGTGTGACAGAAAAAGTAACAAACTGTATTTAGTAATGTTGAGAATTAAAAACTCAAATAAATGTGAGGTGTTTCTTAGAGACGTGTAATATATATAATAAATAAAATACGAAATAGATACGAATACGACATTGTTATTTTTTTAAGTATTAGTAAGTTTGCACAATATCTGAGGTGTTTTTAAATTATAAAATTCAAATGTAAAAACAGATGCTCAGTGTGGGATTTGATTATGTTTTTGATAATGTTTGTAAAACACTTCCTGCTTCACATTAACGTTAATATCATCTCAGTTTAACGTTGACCTCATACACATTCGTCGATACATCAATTTATCCGTTTTTAGAAGAATCACTTTATAAATGTGTGCTTCGTTTTTAAAAATTAAATTAACTATATTGACTATATTTTTAAAAAGGGTTTCGACGTATTTAACTGTTTTGTTTATTGTTTTCCTCAACGTCCCTGTGAGCCGTGTAACGAGCTCATCGTTGAGGCATTTAAGTAGTTTTTTTATTTTATTATTATTATTTCATTTTATTTTTAACCAGCGGTAACAGGAAAACAGACAAAGACAGACAAGACTTTTGAACAATAAATGTATAATATATAATATGTATATTATAAGTGTGCCTGCTGTCAGGTATAATCTACTCCATTTTAACGCAGCTGACAAAGGGGATTATGGGTAATAATAAATTATTATGATGCTCTTTATTATCTTCCTCGTCGTTCTTCTTTTTCTTCGTTTTTAGTATCAACTATACTTTACCTAAAACGTACACACAACAACAACAACAACAACAATACTTAATATTATTATTTCTACATTTGTTTCATTAGTTTAGAACAGCAGTTAGATTGTTAAAAATAAAGTTTGCAATAAAGATAAAAAATACAAGAACTAAATTAATTAATTAAAAAAAAAAACATGACATGCAGACTTTGTCACTCGTTTGTACTGAGGTGAGGCAGTAAATTGTTGTATTTGAATTGTCTCACTGTAAGTATTAGAAGGCCCTGTCTTATCACTGCGCCCCCTGCAGAGCTGTGTGCAGCCAACAGGCTCAGCTAACTTTAATTGTTCTATGCAGTTCTTCTGCCTTTAAACATGTGTTGCTTTTTGCACCAACTTTGACTAAATGTTGACTGAAGTAACTTCTGTCTGTTTGTGTTTGTACTGATGTTAATGATGGAGTTCTGATGTTATTTACCAGAAAACCTTAAAAGCTGAATAAAAAATAATTGAAATTATTTTTTGTAACAGAGAACCAACATTATCAACATGATGGAGAGGTTACGTTAACACCAACCCTGACCATGGTCCACGTTTGTGGCCAATTGTGAAAGTTTACTGACAAGTTCTCCTTAGTCACAGCCACATGTTCTGCTCTTGTTCTAACAGTATCTCTGTTCTGTGGTTCGTGTTTGACTTGTTGTTGGTTCACCTGGTTCAGTCTGAGCAGCCTCTGCTCTCCTCTGACGACTCACGTTGTTCTCTGCTGCTTAGTTTTACTCAGTTTTTGTCTCTGGCTCTGGACTCTTGCAGGTGTACTCTCCAATGCCTGGAGCTGGGATGGCCACTGGCCTCGGTATGGGCTCCATGCCGGGCTACATGTCCAGCAGTGGGACTACGTCGGGGTCTTTTAACATGTCGTACAGTGGAACCGCCTTGAGTCCTGCCCCCGTAGGTGGGATGTGCAATTCAGCTCAGACAGCCATGTCAAGTCTGGGTGGAGGAGTGACCTCCATGGGCGGGACCCTAAGTCCATCTGGTATGGGCTCGCAGCAGACCACAATGGGCCTAAATCCATATGGAAGCATGAGTCCCACCATGAGTTCTGGGATGGGATATGGCAGTGGTGGACTGAACCGCCCGCGGGAGAACAAGGCTTTCAGGCGGAGTTACCCACACGCCAAGCCTCCATATTCCTACATCTCCCTGATCACTATGGCAATCCAGCAGGCACCTAGTAAGATGCTAACTCTGAGTGAGATCTACCAGTGGATCATGGACCTGTTCCCTTACTACAGGCAGAACCAGCAGCGGTGGCAGAACTCCATTCGCCACTCACTCTCCTTCAACGACTGCTTCGTCAAGGTTTCTCGCTCTCCAGACAAACCAGGGAAAGGCTCCTTCTGGACCCTACACCCGGACTCTGGAAACATGTTTGAGAACGGCTGCTATTTGCGGCGCCAGAAGAGGTTCAAGTGTGATAGGAAAATTTCAGCCAAATCGGAAGGAAGGAAGGAGGTAGGAGGTAGCAGTGGGGGAGGAGCATCTCCAACAGGTGACTCCTCTCTTCCCTCCTCCAGTCAGACGGCCTCGCCTCCCAGTCTGGACCTGCGAGGGGGGTCAGACCTGAAGGTCCCGGGGTCTCAGCTCCTGTCCTCCCTGTCGTTGCCTCCTCACACCATGGCTCATGAGGCCCAGCTGCACATCAAAGGCGACGCCCACTACGCCTTCAACCACCCGTTCTCCATCAATAACTTGATGTCGTCGTCAGAGCAGCAGCACAAACTGGACCTGAAGGCGTACGAGGCGCTGCAGTACTCTTCCTACGGCACCGGCACGGCGCCAGGCTTCGGAGCCAGGAGCATGGAGCCTCTGGAGGCGACATACTACCAGGGGGTTTATCCCAGACCACTTCTCAACACGTCTTAGGGTCTGCCACTGCTCCACGGTCCTGAGGTGACTCTGCATGGACGTTGTGTGGGACTGTGATTACACTGCTGGTCTCTCAGGTCCTGACCAGCAGAGCTGGAACCTGGGCCTATAATTGTACCAGGACCAGGATCTGTTGACAGTTTCTCCTTCTACACACCGTCAGTGACTTGTTCCTGATCAAATGAACATCAATCTTCAGTCAGAACGTGATCATTTAGAACATATTAATGAACACCACATTGGTCAGACATGATAAGATCAATGGGTGTCTCACACTCACAGGCACAGGGGGCGTGAGAGAGCAGATTATGTGGATTGAAGGGTCAGTTTTCTGAACCCACACAGTTGGCCCCGCCCCTCTCTTTGATTCAATGATCAGTTATCAACAACTCCATCCAACTGGTTCACTGGTCAATAATCCATCCAAGACCCTGTTGCTGTGACACTTTGATTTTAGCCATGTCATAATATAACAATAAAAAACAAACATTTCCTGCTTGGACAGGATCTTTGTTTGTGACTCTCACTCTGTGGGTAAAAGGAGAAACCACGCTCTGATCCAATCTGTATTTAAATCACTGATTATTGATTATTATTAACTATCATCATGTGCATGAATGAAGTGGGGGCTCTTCTTCTCTTTCTCCCTTCTTTTTGCTCTTCTTTTTGCACTTGTTCTCCTTCTGTGTTATTTCATCTTATTTTCATTCTCTCTGTTCTCTCCTGAACAAACTGCTCACAAACTCCCAGTCTGAAGGAGAGAAAAAGGAGGAAAGCAAGAAAGGAAGAATGAATGAATGCCCCTTGTCCTCGTGCTTCTCGTTGGTTTTTGACTCTGATGCATGTTTTTAAATTATTCTGTCATTTTTAAATAAAACAAAAACACAGCAATTGATGATTGACTTGTGTTTATTATCTTAATTATCATATAAAATTTATTTAAAAATAAAATATTTACTCTGATTTCTACATTATATTATTTTTATTGTTGGTGATTTCGTTTCCTGTGATATATATATATATATGTTTAATGACGTCATATTTTTTATTTTTTCAGTTGTTTTATTGTTTTAAGGATGCTACAGGAAAATATTGTTTTCTCGTGGTGAAATTGATAACGTTGTATAATATTATTATTTTCCCGGTTTATCCGTTTACATTTGTTTATTCTCCTCATATTTTTCCCGTTTTAAAAAAATATTCTGTTCGCTAATTAGTCACTAACAGATGGAGCCGAAAACAGACGAGCGCAGCCGAGCGTCGGTGGGACGTTCAAGCTGCAGAACCGAAGAAAATGTGGAATTAATAAAAACATTTAACACATAGGATGAACATTATCAGTAATAACAATTATAATAATTGTGAAGATCATAATAATAACAGATCTAATTATCTCTAACCGATAAGATAATTGCTATATTTAAGTTTACGGCCATTTCAAATGGCAAGAATTTGACGGCGTTTTATATTTGTTCTCTCTTTAACATTTCCCTCGAAATTGACTCAGCATTTCTGGTTCTGTATATGCACCGCTGACGTCAACGAACATATTATATGTTCATTGCTAGTAAACACGAGCGTGAGCGTGAGCGTGTGTGTGTGTGTGTGTGTGTGTGGTCACCGCTGACTGAACGGATCAGCTGCTTCTTTTACTGCCGTGACCTTTAAGATTTAACCAAACACACACGCACAAAAGAGAAACACGGTTAAACCTGCGGGTTTAACCTTTCAGAGCCGCGACACAATAATAATAATAATGATAAAAATAATGATAATAATAATGGATTTTATCTTAACATCTTTTTTATGATAAATGTATACTTTATATTATATAATATAAATTAATGTGAAAATATATTCTAAAAACATGTCTACAAATATTTAAATAAAAAGGCATTTTTACAAGGATTTATAAAAACAATCACAATCAAATCGCATCATATGATATTATTATCAAAATTAAAAACTAATTCTACAAAAACGGGAGACTTTAAATACAATCTTTACACTTGACCTTTCACACATTCCTTCTTCTTTGTTTTTAAAGACTTTTTTTTTTATATCATCACTGCATGAACCATCTTGTTTTTAGTTTTTTCACGATTCTCTGTTATTTCCGTCTGTCATTTTTAGACACTGAAGACTGTGTCACATCACAGTAATCTGACATCAGTGATGAAAGTTTTACAGCATATTTTCAGTGGTACACACGAGGAAAGACAGACCACTCTAATGTCTTTGTCCCCTTTTTGATTTTCATGTTTGGCTAAACTGTCATATTTTAGTTTGTCTTCACAACAACAGTTAAATAAAGCAGGAACTACTGAAGGCCTCAGTGGGCTTTCCCTGGACGTGGGTCGGTAGGAGAGCGTACTGGGTTTAACATGGGTTTCTGATAGAAATGAGTCATTGACATGACATAGAAAATATTATATGTATTTATATATGTTTTGATTTATTATTTTACAAGATCATGGGTAGATAGGAAAGGTATAAGAGAGAGGAGGAGGTGATGTAGCACATGACCTACAGATGGAACCTAAGACGAGTAACCCAACGGAACGTTCTGTGCCACGTCCTTAGATTTGACCACTACACCACACACTGACCGCAGTTTTACCATGTGCAGTTATTTTAGCAGTAGCTGATAACGTGAATTAAAGGAACATTTCGCAGTAAACTATAATGCCACCCAGTCTGCTGCACTAATACAAGCCATATGTTCCCCACAGCCGGAGTGGGAACGTGCACGGCATCGTTTCACTGAAGCACCTCGCGCCTTATGGAGGGAAATGTCGGACACAATGCAGCGGCCTCGGCCTCTTTCTTCAACGAGCCTTTCATTCCTGCCATGATCAGGGGCCCCAGGGCCACTCAGGCCTTTTGATGGGGATTGGAATTAATTATCTCCAATAACATGATTGTTCAGAGCCAATGAAAAGAGCAAAGAAATCCCCTCAGAGAGAGAGAGGGAGAAGAATGAGAGGCAGGGCGATCAAAGAAGAGAGAAAGAGAGAGATAGGTTGAAAAAGAAGAGAGAGAGAGAGAGAAAGAGAGAAAGTGAGAGAGAGAGAGAGAGCAGCTGCTCCATCAAAATGATGTGAGGAAGTTTATTAGATCTTTGTGAAGAGGTGATGAGGCTGAGCTGGTGGTCCCGGAGTTTGGAGGAGGAGAAGGAGGAGGTGACTGAGGGGGTGGTTGTGGGGGTAATTGGCAGATTTCATGGTTATTATTGTGATCACTCCGATTCTTTTCAGTCCACAGACAAGAACAATGTCAACCAGTCAATAAATGAACGATCAAACACGACATCAACAACAGGAGCGAGAAACAGAAAATAAACAGGAAGTCTAAAAAAAGTTTCATCTGATTTTCTTTTTATAAAGGCTGACGTCTTCCTTGAGTTTCACCCCATGTTTCATCCTGACATCCTAAAAAATCTTGTTTAATTTTCTCCAAAATGTTCAAAGATGTAAAAGTAAAATTTTAATTTGAAGTTTTTAAAGAACAAGAAGAAAAGTTTGTCTAAGAGAAGGAAACCGGTAGAAGGAGATTAAATGGAACAGAGCTGCACTGAGAGTGAAACAGGGCCGGATGAGGACGAGGAGAAGAAGAGGAGGAGATGGAAAGGCACAGAGGAAGACAGAGGAGCCCAGAGAAAAAAGATGAAGTCAAGAAAAAAAGTAGCAGAGGAGAGGAGTGAAAGAGTCAGGGGCAGAGAGAGGGTGGCAAAAAAGGAAAGGAGAGGCATGGAGGGAAGAGAAGGATGGTAAGAAAATAAGGGAGAATCAGAGGGAGCAACAGGAAGAAGAATGAGATGGGTAGAAGAAGAGGAGATGCAGACAGGAGGAGAACTAGAGAGGAGCACTAAGTACGGAAGGCCAGAGGAACTGGAAGGAGTAGGAAAGGAAAGGCCAAGCCAGAGAAGAAGTGGTGAGATGAAGGAGGGAGGGTGGGAAAGAAGGAGCCAAGGAAAGAGGAAAAGAAGCAAAGAGGACAACAGAGAAGAATAAGAAGGAGGAAGGAGCAGTTGGCAAAAGAAGGAAGAAAAGGAGTAAAAGGAGCGGGAAAAGTTACTGATTGTTTGGATTATTTTATTTCACTGATTATCATTTGACAAACTGATTAAAAAACCATTTGTGATCACATGTGAGATCACACCCCAGCAGCTCACTGATTGGTCAAACATTCCACAACAATTAAAACACCAGATACAAATAAAAGCAATTAAATTCTACTTATTCTTAATTAATGATTCAAAAGTTTGGATCAGATCATGGCTCGGACACTTCCTGTCCCCACTTTCTTCCTCAGAACGTCCACCAGACGCTCCAACCTGAGAAGGAGAGGGGATGATGTCATCAGTGGCGAGAGATACCACAGCCAGTGACCATTGTTATTTAAATAAGGTTTCTGATCTATTGATTATCAGATGCACCAATGTCATGTCGGTGTCACAGGTTGTGACATCAGACAGGAAGTGATGCATCTAAACTGAAGAACGAGTAAAACTCAACCCCGACTCCTCTTCCCTTGCTCCTTTTGTCTCCAACTTAAATCAAACTTCTGTAATAAGCAGCAGATTCTGATCAACCCCGCCTTTACTTCTACCATAGAGCAAACATTCCTCTTGCTGCTCTTCACAGACGTCGCCCCCCGCTGGCAGCCAAATTATAGCAGAAAGCCGCGGGTTTGATTCTGGGAGGACAACGTGGGCCGCAGACGGACGAGTTAAGCCGTTTCATCACCGGTCTCATCCTTTCATCTTCAGGCGACACAGCAGAAGAAGTCAGAGCGGCGTCCAAGGATTAATTCTTCCCCACTCTCAGCACGCTGGCTGAATACCAATCATCTTTAGTCCCACGCGCTTAACCAGTCAGTAAACGCATCATTCTCAGCATGCGGGCTGAATAACAATCATCTTTTGTTCTATATGCCTATCCAGTCGGTAAATACAACACAATCTATCCTACAACTTGTCTAAAAAAGCCACAAGTTTCTTTTAATGAAGCAGTGAGGAGCAATGAGGAGGACCAAGGAGCAATGTGAAGGGAGATGAAGACCTGCCTCGCAAAATGTCATCAAACTTCACATTTAGCCTTTTGTTATTTATAGCCATTTAATGGCGTTTCAGTATCACGTGACCTGAGAGTTGGTGGAGCTACAAACTGGCCACACACCTGCCAACTTTCACCCACCTGCGGACTCTTTCCGTGGCTTCTTGTTCTGCCTCCTGACAGCGCTTGAGCTCCACCTCCACAAGCTCCTTATCCTTCGAGAGCTGCTGTAGTTGCACCAATAGGGGCGCGGCCTCCAGTGAACTACTGTTGTCCAGAGACGAGGGCGGAGCCACGGTGACATCCTGAGAGCTGAAAAAAAAACAAAGGAAGTTTCTTAGGATTGTCAGCTGGATAATGGTGGCACAGATATACTGCTAAATATAGTAACCTGTCCAGTTGGTCAGCTTGCTTAATTGAATGTTTAATTACCTGAGTAATTAGGTTTTAGACAGTAACACGTCACAAACTGACAACAAATTAGAACGTCCTGCCACTTCCTGTTAGAAGCCAGTTAGCATCTTGTTAGAAGTGGGTTGAAAGCTACAGCACACTGCAAAGAAAAGTTGAGATGTGAAAACTTTCTCACCTGTTATTGGCTCTAAGTGACTCTAGCTCCGCCTCCAGCTGCCACCTGTCATTCATGTCTTTGTCTCTATGATGTCTCAGCAGCTCCTCCTATTGGAGACAAAGGTTTTCAAGAGCAGGAAAGTTCTTCATCAGACTTTTGACTAATGTGTGTTGAGTTTGTTTTCAAAATATGTGCGTTTCAGCATGTTACGTGTGTACAAATGAAAAATGATCACATGACCATATTAATGATGATCACAGAAATGCGAATAAAGGATTCATTTTCAATTTTAAGAGTCAACAAACATCAGTTGTTACAGCCATACACTGTGTTCAGAAACATAAAGGTCCAGCAGATGGCGTCTATCCAGGGGTTACGTTACTGTCCATCACTGTCCTGTCAGTACTGCAGATTTTTAACCTACAGACTGATGGAAATTGGAGCCTTTCACAGAGGAGGTGGACTCCTGCAGGGATGACAGAGCGGACTTTGACCTCCTCATCCTCCTCCTTGTTCTCCTTCTCGTCCTGTATGCTAATGAGCGTTTCTGAGTTTGAAGTGACACATCAAAGAGGAACCAAACCTGCAGGGTAAATATGTGTCTTCTCCAGCCGGGCCGGAGGACATGCTTCAAAAGAGATGCCCACTTATTAATCAAATGAGCTGATGAGCCAGCAGAGCGGCGCCACTGTGACAGTGACCTTTTACGTTAGGAGTGAAGGTTAGGTGGTGGAAGAGGAAACAAGGGGAGGAGGGCCTGGCTAGGGGGAGTCAGACAAGGCAATGGATTAAAACAAAAGCTAATTATATTTTAGGGAAATTATTTTAGTTTCTAAAAACTGACTAAACTAAAAAAAGTTGTCAATGAAGATGTGAATGATGAAGTGATGAGGACAAGGGTGGTGCTTTGGCCCAGAGGCAACGTCTCTGTAACTGGTGTGGAACCCCAGGGTTCACCTCCTGGGTCAGATCGAATCCTGGTCAGGGTGGTTGGTACCTTCCAGTGGACTCACCACCTGCAGGAAGGTTCAGGGGGGTTGGTACGGGGCAGTGTGATTTGGGTGGCGACTGCTGCCCCCGCGACCCGGTAACGGATTAGCAGATGAAAATGGATGGGTGGATGAAGACAACGCAGAAGATGTCAGTGTTGGAGTCAGAGTGAGGTCAGTGTCAGTGAACAGGTCAGTTAGGGCAGAGAAGGTGTCTGTTGTGAATGCATGTGTCAGTGAAGACAGTGAAGATGTCAGTGAGGTCTCATGTGGATTGATTTGTGTGTGTGTGTGTGTGTGTTTATTTACCTTGCTCGTTCTCTCCTCTCTCTCCTGAATCAGCTCGTGTTCCAGACGTTTAAACTAAAACACCAATACAGTTATCAATTATTGATCCATTACAGCAGGCACAGATCAACAACAAGTAAAGACAATAACAAACTTTAATAAACTTGTTTGTAAATGATAAAAAAAAACTTTATTTGGACAAACTTCATTCAAATATAGTATTTGTAAATTTGTCTCGTTTTATATATTTTCGTGGATATGCAGCTCCCTGTGGGAGTTGAACCTCTATCCACTTTTAGCTGTAATAACTTGATATTAGCTCAATAAAAGGGAGCAGCAGCACAGACTGTGGGGAGAGACCCCTCCCTCTGTTTTCTAATATTTCCCAGAAGTCCTGGCTGCAGCAGGAGATAATCCCTGAGAGATGAGGAGCAGTGGAGGGAAAGGGGGAGGATCCTCAGAGTGGAGAGCTCACTCTTCTTCTTCTTCTTCTTCTCTGCCGAGGATTTGAAACAAATTTCAGCGCAGTGCAGTGGTGAGCATGGGTGGGATTAAAGTGTTGCTGTGGAGGGCGGTGTTAACTTGTAGGGGCGGGATTAAAGTGTTACCGCTAAGGATGGCGTTAACACACCAGGGCGGGAGCTCACAGAGAAAGGAATGGTGCTCATGTTGGGGTAACAACAAGGGGGGTGGGACCTCAGACAATACATACGTGTAGCAGTTCAGGAGGTTAATGTGGAACAAAGCCCACACAAGTTTAATCCTACAAGTACAACTTCTTTACTACAAGTTAAACTGCACTCTTAACCATGGACCATGAACTCTGCTCCACCATGTACTATTACAGTCCTACAAGTAGAATTCTACTCCACCATGTGCAACCACGAGCCTACAAGAATAATTCTGCACCTTAGTGTACAATAACAATCCTACATGTACAACTTTACTCCTTCTTGTACAACTACTGTTCTGTAAGTACAAATCTACTCCAAAAAAATCCACCGTTACTCCAGCAAATACCAATTAGCATCTTCTTAACAAGCGTGTTGACACTTCTATTAGTACAACCAAAATTCTGTTCTACTAAACATCAACATATCTCAGGTAAAAGTTCAAATACTTGTACATTTCTACAGGTACAACTTTGCTCTACAACAAAGTTACTTCTCTAAATGACAATTTACTCCCACACGTAGTAATATACGTATACATGCACTACAGTACTGCATGTACAACTACACTTCCTTAGTGCAGTTGTAGTCAAATTTGTGAAGGACCCTCTTCCCAAACTGTCATTGCTATGGTTACAAACTACTGTGTGTTTGTTGCCGGAGAAACCGGAGATCTCATCGTCCTACTGGGAGGGGGCGGGATTTCAGAGCCGAGCACGCTCAGATGACGTCCTCCCATCACTCAGAATTTTTCTCATTTCTATTTAGCCCTTGCTCCCCCTTCCTTCCACAGAGAGCAGGATATGAATCCAGGTGAGTTGTGGGTAATAAATCCAGCACTCTGCAGGTTTTCCTCCTAATAAAATCTGGACTTTGGATCATAATCACACGAGTCTGGATTTGTACCATCTTCGCACATTCACTTCTTTAAATGTAGATAATTTAATGAAAACTTATGAGAAAAATTCAGGTCAAAACCTGATGATCACAGATCAGACTGAGATGTAAGAGAGACTTCGATTAAAATCTACAGCTGTGTGCTTGATTGTAATAATCTGTAATCCACTTGGATTAGAATCACTGATTTGATGTTTGGTGCACATTTATGAATTATGTGTTTGGATTGTTTTTATAGTACATTTATTTACTATAAAAATAAAAGATAAAATTCTCACAAAATCATAAATTGAATTAGTGTGATTTTATATTTATTTTTAAAAAGGAGTACAATTTAATTTTAAGAATAGTGCACATTTTAAAGGGGTGTGAAAGTTTACAAAAACCTTAACACAAAAACCTTGACACTAAGGTCTCCTTTGAATATCAGTGATTTTTTTATCAGAGCAAAAATACAGGGTTGATCCACTGTGGAGTATAATTGTGTTATTTTGTGACTAGAGTCTAGATTTATCTTGTAAGGCAGCAAAAGTTAAGCAGCTTCTCTGTTCCCACAGGTTAAAAATCTCTGATTTTCTCTATGGACTTTGGTGCGCATATGTGTAAGTATATGTGTATGTGTGTGTGTATGTGTGTGTGTGTGTGTGTGTGTGTGTGTGTGTGTGTACTCTCCCAGGTGTGTAAACATCTCCACTCTCAGACTCATATTTGTCTCTTCACCGCTTTGTTTTCTCACTGTTCTAAATATTCATGTTCACATTTGAACTGCAAATATTTGAGGTTTGGGCTTCAGGGGCTGCTGTAGCCCCGCCCCCACCCCACCCCCCCAGTAGCTTTGAGCTCCGCACAAACAGGATTAAATAAGCGACTTAGAAGTGGCCTTGTCAGTGAAAACACTGATGTTGAACAGGAAGTTGGAGAATCCCAGGTAAACAGACAGACAGGTGAGAACAAACAAGAACAGACACACAGACAGACACACAGACAGTAAGGTGTAATGACTCACTTTGGCCACACAGACGTCTCTCTCCATCATCACAGCCTTCATTTCCTCGGCGGTGATTTCTTTTCGCCGTTGACGTGCTGCGAGCAGACGTTGAACCAAAGCCGAACCGTATTGCTCTACCTGTTGGACTGAGTCTGCATCACACACACACTGAAGCAGCTGCTCCACTTCCTGTACAGAAAACCATAAATGTGGTCACATGACTGGTCAGATGATGAATGAAAAGTCAGAAGAGTGTAAATCAGAGTTTACCATGTCAGCGGTGTGTGAGTTGACCTTCATGTGCTCTGATCTGAAAAGAAAAAACAACAAAGTTACAGACACTGGTCTCTAAAATCTCCTACAGTAGTTTTAAACCAAATAGTAC